CTGTTGAAACTGATCAGTGGCTGATTCCAGGAAGCCCGGGGCAGAGCAACTCTGCCTCGGGCTTCCTGCAGTCAGCCGCTGGTCAGTTTCAGCAGCGGCTGAATCTGGACGCCAGTTCCGACTTACATACAGATTCAACTTAAGAACAAACCTACAGTCCCCATCTTGTACGTAACCCAGGGACCGCCTGTATCAGAATTGGTGTGGGGCGTGTGGGAGAAATATTTCCTTCTTTCAACACTAGAAACTTACTACCTATGACCTAAAAAAGATTATTTTATTTTCTCACCTCCTCCTGTCCAAAAGGACTACTATTTATCTGTCTAGTGCTCATAGTGTAGTGGCAATCGTATTGAGAAATGAAAAAACAAGAACAAAAAACAAAGCAAAAAAACTGGTAACAGGTATTCAACTTACTTCGCTTGTAGGGAAGCAAGGGCCTCAGGAAACTTGTTACTTAGGAATAAATCCACAGCGGTCATGCATTCATCCAGGGCCACATTCAGGTTTGACACAGATGATCTGTCAAAAAAAGAAAGAATGACAAAACCTACTACTTCCGTTCCCCTTTTATTAAACCTCTCATTTCTTAGAAAAGTGTTATTATTACAATTCCACTAATACACCACATAACAACTAACCCCTTATCCTCACAGTAAATATGCAATACGGAAATAAGAAAGTCACTGTCACTTCAGATATTCCTTTATCTGTCCTTCATTCCTTCTCTCTCTCACACCCTGACCCATCACCTTCTGTCAGTTTCTACTGTCAGATGTTAAATCTCTTTGCATTAGGTCTAGAACACAAAATGCTCTCGTCATGGTGCCATGTCATCATACACAGACCCAATGACGCCACCTAAAGAAGCACCATCCTCACATGATGACATTTGCAGATTCAAATTAAATCCAAGACTCAAACAGCCCTGCAGATTCTAGGCTAATTGATCGGGGGCAGGTCTTTCCAAGAATTGAGATCACTCCATAAATTTTAGGATTAGTGGTCACCCTTTGTTCAGTGCAATTCCTGAATGAATTAGAAAATACTACAAAGACAAAGTAGCCTTTGCCCCAGCCGTGGAGAATAAGTAGTGCTATTTGTCTCTTTGCACCCCAGAACAAATGACTAAACAAGCTCATGATGCCACAAAGTTTTGGTTTGGGCCATTATACAAATAAGAACCAGATACAAAGTCTGGATCCTGACCTAAACTCTTCCAAAGTTTGGCAGTGGTTGCACCCAGGATTTTGGATCAGGTCCATCTATAAGATCTCTAGAATATGGGCAAAATGAAAACACTGATTAGACCCTTTCTTTATCCTACCTTCCTCATAATGTAAGAACAAGAGCTCTTGGGGAAATTGAGGAAAATATTTCCACATACAACTGCCTATCAGTCTACAGAATTCATTGCTACAGTGGAATTAGAGTGTCACATGTTGTGCCTGAATTATTTTGTAATCAAAATATTAGTAATTAAGGATGCTAGAAATTGGGAAATAAATCTCATGCTTGCTGCGATAAGCTGATCATTGCAGTGGTTAGAAAGGAATTATTCCTTGAATAAGCAGCATCACTGGCTAATTGCATCAGGGGTTCCCGCCCTCCCCATCTTGTGCAGTCCTGCTTGAAACAAAACACTGGACTTGTGCGACTAATGGTCTCCTACAGTGTAGAAACGACCAAGTACATTGTTGCTGGAATGGGCTCTTGGCAGTACATTTAAACCACATTTTCTGCAGCCATTGACCACACAGCACGAGAAATAAATGTCACTACAGCTCTGTGCATTCAAATAAATTACAGTGTCAGACCTGGCGTGCTAGTTTGAGTAATAAACAGCCGCAAAATGCAGTGAAAAGCCAAATGCAGCATATCAGAATCAGATGTCTACTTCATTGCCTGGCTGCATATGTTTTCTTCAGGAAACTCTGAGATTATGGCCTGATGCATCTGGCCAGGCTAATGAATGCTTCTCAGAGGGTGCAGGATGACTAGTAATGGGATAATAGATCAATTGAAAAGTTCTGGCCAAAGTTCAGCATGAGGCATAACATTGTTGTACATGACACTGTAGAAAGAACAGTAGACCTTGCTCTGGCAAGGTCAATGTACCCTGGGAAATGTCAAAAGAGTTGAAATATGGGTATTTTGCACCTTTTAAAGAAAGACTGCATTGCATTAGTGCATGGTGCTCAGGCTAGTTTGGGTTATTTTTATAAAGTAATAAAGACTCATTTTCTCCCTTCCTAGGGTTGCCAGATGTCCAGTACTCTACCGGACAGTCCGGTATTTGTGCTCTCTGTCCAGTAAAAAAACCAGAAAATACCGGACACATGCAATGTCTGGTATGTTCTGATTTTTCCGGCTGTGCACCTGACAGAAGCCTGGCATGGGTGAGGGGAGTGGCTGGAAGGCGGGGCCACAATCGGCACTAGGAGCCTGTGGACTGCCAGCCACTCCCCCCGCCCACGCCAGGCTTCTGCGCAATCACAGGCTCCCAGTGCCGATTGTGGCCCCGCCTCCTGGCCTGGGTGTCCCAGCTGGGGCAGGGCCGCGATCGCTGCTCTGGGTGCATCAGAAGCCCAGAAGCTTAGCAGGGGCGGGGAGAAGGGGTGGCTGGGAGGCGGGGTGCGATTGGCGCTGGGAGTTCTCTCCAATCATTTCATCTGCAGGATAAAAAGGAGTTCTTCTAAATTCTTTTATAGCCTTAGCTTTAGAGCAATAGAAAACAATGAAAATAGCATGCACATTTGCACAATTACTTCTAAGCCTCTTTACATAGAGCTGGTGTAGGATAAAGACTGTTTATAATAAAGTTAAGTATTAAACATAGCATGTGTGTTCGTGGCAGTGGGGTTTTTTTGGGGAGCTCCACAAATTTTTAGCCAGCGTGTTCAGCATTTTTTGGGAGACCATCTGGCAACCCTACCCTCCACCTCTCCCTGACTTTGGTTGCTCTAAGTAACTGTCCTGTGACTTGGAATCTGTCTTGCGTCCCTTTAGGAAAAATTGCAAACATAACTACTGAACGGAAAAAGAAATCAACCTTGAAAACAGGAAGTGTGCCAGCAATCTCACTCTAATAAGAAAAGGATCAGAGTTCAAAATGAAGCAACGAGAGGTTAGTAATTATACTGAGGATTTTGCAAAAATATTTCTTTTAAAAGTAAAAGACTTTATTGGGGAAAAAAAGAATGATTTTTTCCATGCTCAAGAACCAGGTTTACAAATTTGAGAGCAACACACTATGTGGCAGTGTCTCATAATGCCTGTGTCATCACACTTCTCAGTTGTACTGCCTGTTACTCTGCTCCCGGAAATATCTCAGTCACCAATAAACCCCAAGTCCCAATATTTCCATGAGCCATTGTGCGTCTAATACGATATCATGAATACAGGACATGGTAACACTTACAGCTCCTCTCCAAGCCTGTTTTATTGTACTACAGTATTTTAAAACTATCATCTGTAGGCTGAGTGTATGATCATTTTTATTTGCCCCTTGTTACCTTAGGCCCTTCAGTATAACAACATGCTTAAGATTGCTCTGAAACATGCTCTCATCTGCACCATTTACATTCTTTAATTTGTTTTGATTCTTTACCTTTGCACAGAATGTTGATTTAAAAAAAATACAAACATGCTTCCTTGTGAGACTCCTTTTTGCAACAGAGAAGTGCTGGAAGTTATACACTGTACAAGCTCAAAGTATAGCTAAACTCTTAGGAACGCTTTCTAAAAGAATGCTTGACACAATCTCCCACTCTCTTCTCAGCTGCCACAGTAATGCAAGTGACACACCTTCCTAGCAGTCTCATGAAACTGGACCATTCCATGTAGTCAGTAAGTAAAGAAAGCAGAATGTAAGCAGGTAAATGCCATTTAATTATGCAAATGATACAGATCCTAGTCTGTTAATATGGTAATTCAAAGAAGAAATACTTTAGAGAAGGCTGAACATTTTTGCAAACTGATTAGTCATGCTTCAGTGGATTGCACTGTTTCTCTACTGCCTTAGCTGTAAAATCAGCCCAAATATAAGCAACTGCAAATCTGTACTTACCCTAATAAGTCTCCGTTGTTTTTCGACATGGTCATTTGCCCTGTAAGGTGAATGTGGAAACCATCAGCGAGAATTACCAGAAGACATCTAGCAGCAGGCACTCACCACTACTTAACCAGCTCAGAATGAGAGTCACACTAGGGGCAGGGCATGGTCTGCCTGCTTGCCTGCAGAGCACAGCATATCACTGATTGGTCATTATGATAAAATAAAGGGAGTTTCTGTAGTTCAGATTTAATATCCTATGCATGAGTGACTTGGGACTCGTGCCCTGTGCCATGCTAGGCATTGCTCATTCCGGTCAGACTCCTCCCAGTAAGGGCAGAAGCAACTGAACAGGGACTGCTGCTCTACCGGGAGGGTTAATAAGGGCCCCACCCATTTAGGGCCATCCCTCCCTGCCCAGCACCCCTGCTGGACCCATAATTGTATAGTGGGTGGAGACACTGCCCTTCCTCCCCGCCCCATCACATGGACGTGGGAGAAAATTGCACAGAGCCAGCCAAATGGGGGTGAGGAGGGTTAGAACTGTAAACCCTAGATACTATGGAAACCACTTCAAGTCAGGGGGTGCAGCAGCACCTTCAGCACCCTAGTTTCAGCACTTGTACAGCCAAGAGACTGCAGGCAGTAGAAACAGCCAAAGCTGGGTGCGACGGGGACGTTCCGGCTCCCTGCTACGAGGCCCCGCCGTCCCCGTCTCTCCGGGGGGAGGCGGCCCCCCGCCCGCGGCGCCGAGGCCGCGCC